CACCCCAGACAGCACTGGATATTCCTAGAATATTCTCTAAATATGCTAAAAAGGAGGAGTATATTCCGAATATTCATCGATTATTCCTAGAATATATACATGCCTCTGGAACATCTGGAAGGAATATTCCAAAGTGATGTTCAGGAAATATTCAGGTATGAATTTTCCAGGAATATTCCTAAATGAATATTCTTTCTTGTATATTCATGAAATATTCCCAACTGAATGTTCTGTGGGGTATATTCATGAAATATTCTCAACTGAATATTCTGTGCGGTATATTCATGAAATATTCTCAACTGAATATTCTGTGGTGTATATTCATGAAATATTCCATGAATATTCCTATGTTTCTCAACACATAAATACCCATCATTATTTCAGAGTTGTGAGTATCGAACATCAAAATTAGATGTAAGGGGATTTTGAAACAAAAAGTGTTTATGATCCGATTTCGAACAACGCTCTCACAAGAAATTGATATGTACAACATTATTCAATTCGATTACTGGCCTAGTGGTCAAGGCGTTGGTCTGATAGTCTTGAGGTCACGAGTTCGATCCCTACTAGGGCCACTTTTTTTATTTTAGAATATGTTTATTGAAATATTCCAGGAATATTCAACATGGAATATTCTTTTGGATATATTCTATGAATATCTGAGGAATTCCCATTCGCATATTTAGAGAATATTCCACAGATATTCCGGAATATTCCAGATTATTTCTAGAATATTCCAATATTCCAAAAGGAATATGATAGGGAGATTCATGGAATATCTGGTGCTGTCTGGGACGCGACTTGATTGTTTTCGGCGACAAAAGAAACAGTGGGAGTGCATTTTCCTGCCTATGGCATATTCTTAATTGAGTCACCAAGAGCATACTCAACATTTACACCAATTATTTTTGTACCAATTAGGAATTCCTCGACCTACGCTATCTCGAGACTCCGGATACATATTCATGAAGCAAAGTAAGCAAAGCTATCACGTTATTGCGTCCAGGTTCGGCTTATGGCTGAGTTCGCGATTTCACGGAGTTTCAATGGGGATGGTAGAAACAGAATTGAGAATTGAAACAGAATTGAGCTATCTTTGCTCTGAAAAAAGTTTGGATTTTTTTCTAGGACCTACCAATCAATTTCCTAAACTGACATCTGAATGTTCGTCATCTGTCGAGATATCGCTTCCATTATGATTTCGTGACCTAATTAGGCAGTTTTTCGACCCAAAAAAGTCAATGGTGAAATCAGAATGGAGCCATCTTTGCTCTGAAAAAAGCTTGGATTTTTTTCTAGGACCTACTATAATCAATTTCCTAAACTGACATCTGAATGTTCGTCATCTGTCGAGATATCGCTTTCATTTTGATTTCGTGACCTAATTAGGCAGTTTTTCGACCCAAAAAAGTCAATGGTGAAATCAGAATGGAGCTATCTTTGCTCTGAAAAAAGTTTGGATTTTTTTCTAGGACCTACTATAATCAATTTCCTAAACTGACATCTGAATGTTCGTCATCTGTCGAGATATCGCTTTCATTTTGATTTCGTGACCTAATTAGGCAGTTTTTCGACCCAAAAAAGTCAATGCTGAAATCAGAATTGAGCTAACTTTGCTCTGAAAAAAGTTTGGATTTTTTTCTAGGACCTACTATAATCAATTTCCTTAACTGACATCTGAATGTTCGTCATCTGTCGAGATATCGATTTCATTTTGATTTCGTGGCCTAATTAGGCAGTTTTTCGACCCAAAATAGTCAATGCTGAAATTAGAATTGAGCTAACTTTGCTCTGAAAAAAGTTTGGATTTTTTTCTAGGACCTACTGTAATCAATTTCCTTAACTGACATCTGAATGTTCGTCATCTGTCGAGATATCGCTTTCATTTTGATTTCGTGACCTAATTAGGCAGTTTTTCGACCCAAAAAAGTCAATGGTGAAATCAGAATTGGGCTATCTTTGCTCTGAAAAAAGTTCGGATTTTTTTCTAGGACCTACTAATCAATTTCCTCAACTGACATCTGAATGTTCGTCATCTGTCGAGATATCGCTTTCATTTTGATTTCGTGACCTAATTAGGCAGTTTTTCGACCCAAAAAAGTCAATGGTGGAATCAGAATTGAGCTATCTTTGCTCTGAAAAAAGGTTGGATTTTTTTCTAGGACCTACTAATCAATTTCCTCAACTGACATCTGAATGCTCGTCATCTGTCGAGATATCGTTTCCATTTTGATTTCGTGACCTAATTAGGCAGTTTTTCGACCCAAAAAAGTCAATGGTGGAATCAGAATTGAGCTATCTTTGCTCTGAAAAAAGTTCGGATTTTTTTCTAGGACCTACTAATCAATTTCCTCAACTGACATATGAATGTTCGTCATCTGTCGAGATATCGCTTCCATTTTGATTTCGTGACCTAATTAGGCAGTTTTTCGACTCAAAAAAGTCAATGGTGAAATCAGAATTGAGCTATCTTTGCTCTGAAAAAAGTTCGGATTTTTTTCTAGGACCTACTAATCAATTTCCTCAACTGACATCTGAATGTTCGTCATCTGTCGAGATATCGCTTTCATTTTGATTTCGTGACCTAATTAGGCAGTTTTTCGACCCAAAAAAGTCAATGGTGGAATCAGAATTGAGCTATCTTTGCTCTGAAAAAAGTTCGGATTTTTTTCTAGGACCTACTAATCAATTCTCATAACTGACATCTGAATGTTTGTCATCTGTCGAGATATCGCTTTCAATTTGATTTTGTGACCTATATTGGCGGTTTTTCGACCCAAAAAAATTAATGGTGAAGACAGAATTGATCTATCTTTGATCTGAAAAAAGTTTGAATTTTTTCCTAGGACCTACTAATCAATTCTCATAACTGACATCTGAATGTTTGTCATCTGTCGAGATATCGCTTCCATTTTGATTTTGCGACCTAATTAGGCGGTTTTTCGGCCCAAAAAAATCAATGGTGGAAACAGAATTGAGCTATCATAGCCCTGAAAAAAGTTTCAATTTTTTCTAGGACCTACTAATCAATTCTAATAACTGACATCTGAATGTTTGTCATCTGTCGAGATATCGCTTTCATTTTGATTTCGTGACCTAATTAGGCAGTTTTTCGACCCAAAAAAGTCAATGGTGAAATCAGAATTGAGCTATCTTTGCTCTGAAAAAAGTTTGGATTTTTTTCTAGGACCTACTAATCAATTTCCTCAACTGACATCTGAATGTTCGTCATCTGTCGAGATATCGCTTCCATTTTGATTTCGTGACCTAATTAGGCAGTTTTTCGACCCAAAAAAGTCAATGGTGAAATCAGAATTGAGCTATCTTTGCTCTGAAAAAAGTTCGGATTTTTTTCTAGGACCTACTAATCAATTTCCTCAACTGACATCTGAATGTTCGTCATCTGTCGAGATATCGCTTTCATTTTGATTTCGTGACCTAATTAGGCAGTTTTTCGACCCAAAAAAATCAATGGTGGAAACAGAATTGAGCTATCTTTGCTCTGAAAAAAGTTTGGATTTTTTTCTAGGACCTACTAATCAATTTCCTTAACTGACATCTGAATTGTCGTCATCTGTCGGGATATCGCTTCCATTTTGATTTCGTGACCTAATTAGGTAGTTTTTCGACCCAAAAAAATCAATGGTGGAAACAGAATTGAGCTATCTTTGCTCTGAAAAAAGTTTGGATTTATTTCTAGGACCTACTAATCAATTTCCTTAACTGACAACTGAATGGTCGTCATCTGTCGAGATATCGCTTCCATTTTGATTTCGTGACCTATATAGGCAGTTTTTCGACCCAAAAAAATCAATGGTGAAATCAGAATTGAGCTATCTTTGCTCTGAAAAAAGTTTGGATTTTTTTCTAGGACCTACTAATCAATTTCCTTAACTGACATCTGAATGTTCGTCATCTGTCGAGATATCGCTTTCATTTTGATTTCGTGACCTAATTAGGCAGTTTTTCGACCCAAAAAAGTCGATGGTGGAAACAGAATTGAGCTATCTTTGCTCTGAAAAAAGTTTGGATTTTTTTCTAGGACCTACTAATCAATTTCCTTATCAGAAATCTGAATGTTCGTTATCTGTCGAGATATCGCTTCCATTTTGATTTCGTGACCTAATTAGGCAGTTTTTCGACCCAAGAAAGTCAATGGTGAAATCAGAATTGAGCTATCTTTGCTCTGAAAAAACTTTGGATGTTTTTCTAGGACCTACCAATCAATTTCCTAAACTGACATCTGAATGTGAATGAAGTTGAAACATTTTCGATTCTTCACACCCTATATCTTTGTTATGATTCCCGCTACACCCCAAGTGTGATAGATCGATGAAATCAGCTCTTCAGGGAGAATCTGAAAATGGAATGATATACAGGGTGTTCCATTGAAACAAATCAAAGTTGTTGCTACTTTTCAATATAAGCGGCAACGTCGCAACACTGAGAATATTTTAGGTCGATAGAACACTATCAATTATCCAAGGCACCAACTTTTCTGAATAATCCTGAGTTGCGTTCTCCAGAAACGTCCAATGTTGAATCAGCCTGTATAGTAACTATTACTGATTTTTGCGAAATATCATCTGAAGAAAATAAATTGTCACTTCATTATTCCAGATTTTTCGGGATTTTCTCATCTAAAGTCTAATGATAAAAATCGTCGGCTTGTCATTTGTTACTAACACCGGTCCTGTACTTACACACAAATTGATTACGGGGACTTTCACATTTTTATTTTTATATAATCGATTATTGCAAACTCGAATATCGCTGTTGAACAACACAGCTGACTCTCTGACTTATATTCTGTTTTGTTTTGTTTCGAGGATATACTCGCAAATTCAAGTTGATATCGGTAAAATAACATTTGTATTTTACTCATCATTATCAAGTGAATTTAAGTTTTGGATCACTTGCATCGTATCAGTTAGTGATTGTGGTACACAGTGTATATTATTTAGTATTAGTGGAATCGAGATAACCGTGTCAAAAACAAGATGGTTTTTCTCATTTTCCTACTGGTTAGCCTCATTGTATGCTCTGGACAAACTATAAGTTCTACACAAAAAATACGTAAGTAAATGTACTTTTTATGAATCAACCAATAAATCATGAAGCGCTGTTGCCACCATTGCCAGATTTTGAAATTAATATAGTAAATTGACTCTATTCTCAAAAATAAAAAAAATATTGCCTGATTATCCAGTTTCAATCTGTCCCTATCTCCCCCATACTAGATATACGAGGTTTGACATATACCTATTTCGTAGCTTGGATGTATCTATATAATATTAAGAAAGCGAAGATTTTTTTTATTGTTTCAGAATCGAATTTTCGACATGAAGAATCGTGCAGCGAAGCGAGAGGATATTGTGTATTGGAAAACGAATGTCAACACCCTGTAGAAGGGAAGTACAAAAGTTTGTGTCCGATGCAGCAGACTGATGGTGCTATATGTTGCAAAGATTGTGAGTTTCTATACTAAACATAAACGCTTCACAGTTGATGTCCATAGTGATTTCATGAAAATGTTGGAGTAAACATGAGGTCCTCAGTTGACAATAGACCCATCTGATACCATTTCCATCAATTCAGGCGTTCCATAAGGATCAATTTTGGCACCAATATAGTATCTAGCCTTCAGTTCCTAGTCTCTCCTCTATGTACAGTGGAGCCCATTAAATTGGTAACGACTCGTGTGAAAATCCTTTTAAAATTTCGGTTAATGCGCCCGGACTAATATCTATTCCAACCGCCTGCTGTTTCAATAACTAATTTCTTATTGTGGTTTGTGGTATACGAGATAGTCTGGTGTATCTCTGAATATTTTCTTAGATTTGGGGTAAATATATTCACATCGCTAGAGTATCTCTTGATTCGATGGTATTTCTATTAATGAAATAAGAACTAATTCTCATCAGCATGCGCGATAAGAAAACGGTATACACCCTATTATCTTGAAACGCGATCATCTACTTCCGGAAATTCTAATTTCTAAGTATAATACTAATACTTAGGCTTCGATAGACCGTGCAGATAAATTTGGAGTACAGGGTGATTGATTAGGTTTGATGAAGTTCAGTTTCTCTTATCTCCTATATTCATAAAAATATTACTTTGATTCAGAACAGTGTCCTGTCACCCTGTAATACTGTGAATGATTCAAGACATCAAGACTATCCATTGCTAAAATCTCTCAAATTGACAATTTGATATCTCAAACGACATAGAAGATACTGCACTTTATCACACTAATCAATCACCCGGCTTATTAATATTCTCTTCTGATTGGAGTGTAAGTTCTAGATCAATTACTAGATTATTTTTTCCATTTTTGAAATCACTATAGTATTGAGTGTAATTTCTGGACAATCTGTATAAACAATTTGTCTGCTACCTTCATTCAAGGCGTTTATTGATAGTTTGTCATTGTCACTTAGTCATTCGCAATAATTTTCATAATGTCATTTTTTATATGAGCTTCACTGCTCGTATTGGATTTATTCTTGATGGAAAAAACGAGGAAATATATCACAAATTTACTCAATCTAGATAACACAAATTTATTAAATGTCTCATATAAGTAATATGTATATAGTAGGGGTCGCCCTCCTTGTAACTTCTTTATTATTTTACGTATAACAAAAACTGTTGAATGCATAAGCTGTGGGGATTGATTCAATCTATTCGATGGTTTAGGATTTATCCATATGGAGTGTCTCAAAAGAGCGCTACGACAAATGAGTTCATTTTTTTCTATAGGGGCACCTGAAATATTATTGCATTCTTGGATTTTACGTTGAATGTAGAGAAAATATGATATATATTTTTATATCACAGAAGTTGATAGTTTTGGGATCATAAATAATAATTAATAATAGATATTTCGAATATTTTTGTACCAGTTCAAGTGAGGAACGTTTCTGATATGTTGCTGCTTTGTCGGTTTTGTTGGAGTTTCCATTTTTGGAAACAAAACATCGACTCGACGTGTCTGTTTGGTGGAAATCCGCCATAAATACTTGAATTCGGTCTGTCGCTTGATACTTCCTGGAAATTAACAAACACTTGTAGACCAATCCCTTCGAAAGCTTAACTCTAATTCATAGAGATTTGTGGTTTGTGATTCAATCTATGCCAAATCGATTGAAAAAATTATTATATACACTAATGTATCCTCAACTTCCTATTCTAAATACCGACAGTATTCGACCGCAGCGTAGCACTTTCGATTGAACCTGGAGTAAGTAATACTTCCATATTCATAATGGACCATCACACATTCTTTCATAATCTCGACTCATTTTCATTATTCTATGATATAAACCGTGATACATTTTTCAATTCATATTTTGAAGCGTTCACCATTGATATTTTTTTAAAATGTATTATTTTCAACAGTGACATTCAAACATTTTGATTGGAATTTCATTGCCAGATAGAGATTCTTTCAATTCTAATTTTTATATACAGTGTGTCCACTGCAAGAGCTTACCACCCCTGTTACTATAATAATATGATAGAATCTGAGAACAATGTATTTGTTGGATAGGTAATCGAAATGCCCATCCAACCAGAAAATGATTTCATTCTTGAACTGTTTTCATGACCAACGGTGACCAATTTCATTGACCCAAATTTCAAAAAGTACTATGAGACAGTTTTTCACTAAAAATATCGATGGATTTTGCAGCAGGATCATTTAAAACATACCGGTATCTATTTTCATTATCTTAAAACACAAGGTGCCCCAAAAACCGATTTATTATTTTTAAATACTTCATCAGAAAATGTAGTATACCATGGCAATACTGGGTAATGACAAATTATTATTGAGAACTACTTCAAACATATCTGTAAAATGTGGTGTTCTATCAGAAATAAGGGAATTCAATTTACTTCCCGTATTCGGAAGTGCGCTATGCCAGATTTACCCTCGGATATACCCAAGATTTTTGAGAGATTCATTCAACTCATCATAATTTTGAAAATGAATGGGTTACCTGAAGATTCCTGAAATTATCTCGGAAATTATATAGTTATGTAAGTACCATATCTTTATTATTTTATTAGAATTTTATCGATCGTTTTCTCCTGGTTATACATGGTGTGATTTAATTGATGGTTAAAGATAAGGGATATGGTTCCTCACTTCATTTTGAGAAAAAAGTTCATGTGAACATATGCCCTGAAACTTGTTGTAGACAGTAGGTATATTGAGGTTATTATAGTGAAATAATTCTTGTCTGAAAATTTCAACACCCTATAGCTCGAGAGCTAAGAGGTTTAATTAATCAATTGTGGATTGTTGAAATTTACACATCCTTAAATCCCTTTCTTTCAAGATTGGATTCTTGTTATGATAATATTATATCGTTCTCATCAAAACTGAATCATTGTGAAGCAGTCCAGATCGATTCCTATTTATTTCATTGTATTTGCCAAGAACTATGTCATTGTTATTTTTCAAGTTTGAATAATAATTATAACACCTCTGGGTATACTGCTGGGTATACCCTATATAATACCTTTACAGCGCGAAGCAGGTCATAAAATGTTAATGAGGGAGGCAGCTCGTTTCTAGACAATGAATAGTACATGTGCTTAGACAAAACTATTTCAAACCGCCCAAGAGTCGTTACCAATTTATTGGGCATCACTGTACCTGACTCTAGTATTTAGTATCTCTTTCTCTGTTTCTAGTCTCTAGTCTTTGGTCCTCGATCTTTAGTCTAGTCTGTCTTTATCTTTAGTTCTATAATGACTATTCTGCATAGTCTATAATCTCTAGTATCTCTCTGTCTCCAGTCTATGTCTGTGTCTATATAATCGAAGTATCGTCTGATACCATTTTCACCAATTCACGCGTTCCACAAGGAGCGATTTTGGCACCAACATAGTATATAGCCTTCAGTCCCTAGTCTCTTCTCTATGTACCTGACTCTAGTATCTAGTATCTCTCTCTGTTTCTAGTCTCTGGTCTATATAGCATCTAGTTCTAAAATTACTATTCTGTATAGTCTATAATCTCTAGTATTTATCTGTCTCCAGTCTATGTCTGTGTCTACATAATCGAAATATCGTCTGATACCATTACCATCAAGTCTGGCGTTCCACAAGGATCAATTTTGGGACCAACATTGTTCCTACTTCATATCAACGATCTATTGGGAGCAACCACTTGCCCTATCCACAGCTTTGCAGACGATAGTACTCTCCATACTGCCTTCTCTTCAAGAATTTCCATTTCTTCCCAGGAAACTAAGAACTTAAGACGAAGGCAGGTCAACGCTGTCAATGCAGATCTTGCGGAAATTACAGCCTTGGGAACCAACAACTTAGTTGAATTCAACGCCACCAAAACGAATGCCTGTATTTTTTCTAGAAAGGCGGAACTCAGAATGCCTGATATGACAATGTCTGGTACCACGATTCCCACCTATGCTTTTATGGGAAAATCATGTCCGATCCATCGCGAACGCTGCTTCACAAAAATTCTTGTTCCGTGCGGAAATCAACTTTACACCTCAACAGATTCTACGGCCAGGTTTAGAATACTGTTCTCATGTATGGAGTTCAGCACCCAAACATACGCTGATGCTCTTAGATTCCATCCAGAGAAGCGCTTTTCGCCTGGTGGGTGATGCCACACTCACAAACTTTTCGACCCCATTAGAACACCGTAGAAAAGTCGTCACCTTCCACTTTTCTATGGATACTTTTACGGGAAATGTCCCTCAGAAATCTCTGCTATAATTCCATCACTAGCAATACCAGTCAAGCGAACTCCAGAGGCCCAGTCTGCACATTCCTTCGTCGTTAACTTTGAAAAATGTCGAACGATACTCTACCAACACTCGGCCGTCTATAGAACGGTGAAGCTTTGGATTTTTTTGCCATTGGAAGTATTCCCAACAACTCATAAACTCCAAAAGTTCAAAATAAAACTCCATTACCTTACTCCTCTCCCTATCCTCCCTAGGTACTGACGTTGTTCCACGAACATTATAAGAACTTCCTCTCGTGCGCTCCAAGAGATAAAAAAAATAGATAAGTCGTAAACGGCTTAGTTTTTTTCATTCATCCATTTCATTCAGTGATTCACTAATGATGGTTTTTGAATTATTTCCTTCATTATTTTCTACGCCACTGATGGAATTCTGATTATAAAAAAAATTAACGACCTTCAACTGAGCTACAAAGAGCAGGTTTCAGATGTATTTGATCCTCAATAGATGTTCAATTATACAGGATGTCCTATTAGTCATGGATCAACAGACGTGGGGTGGTATGGGGGGTCAATTACGATAAGACTAACCGTATTATGTTGTTATCCAATTGTTGATAGTTCAATTAGTTATTAATTTTCTTCATTTTTATAGAACAATTCAATTACAGTGAAACTATGTCACATTTGTGATTTTTTTTTACGAATTTCATCCGCATGGATGCACCTTTCCCCACAATTAATTTCATTACCTGTAAATATGGGTTATTCAAAACCGCCATTTTGTTATTATTTTTTTTTTCAAATGACTCGAGTTTTTCAGAAAAATTGAATTAATTCTGAACCATCAACAATTTGAAAACCACATATACCGTTAGTTTGATTGCAAACGACCTCCCTACCACCCCACTTCTTTTGATCCATGACTTATCAGACACCCTGTATAGGAAATTACAAAATATGTGTTTTTTTCTTTCTGCATGAAATTCTATTTCTGTTCAGCTACAGAATGTGAATAATAATAATTATTATTATTTGATCTACTCACAATTCTTCCTTGTAATAATCTGCTATTGAACAAGACTAAAAATGACTGTGATTTTGAGTCTAATGTCTCAAAAACTACATTTTAGCTCAGTTGAAGGTTGAGCGTTTCCTCGAACATGGAATTTAGGAGATTGAAAAAAAGCAATCATCAGTGGCGTAGAAAACATAGGAGAAAAATTACCAGTAGTTGTTCAAACTAACCAATATCCGAATTAAATTGCAAAAAATTGATAGAACTTTTTTTCAAACTTTGAAATCCTGTAGAAGAAAACTTGAAGACCATGATTATGTCCCTATAACTTAGTCATTGTAAAATCATGAGGACCTGTCAAACCTTGTCAAAAATAAGTTTCTGTTTTTTTTGCTTTCTGCATGGTATAAAATTCTGTTCGTTTTTAGTTCCTATGGAAGATGCCAATTGTCACCAACTCCATAACGAATGCAAGGATTCAAACTGTACAATCAATTTAGGAAGAAGAGGTTGTGCAGCCAATCAATTATGTTGTGTTCTTATGTTCTGAAAATTTTCTAATTAAATAGTGTTATATTATCTTCATATAAGTACCCGGTATCATTTTCTGGGGTAGCTCTCAAGAACTGAGTACCTACGCTAATGGATTTTCCTCACGTTTTCCTCAAAGATATCCGTTTGAAGAAACTTTGCGTGAGTTGCGTATACTTCTTTCCGGAAGTTTCTAATCACGCATTGTCGTTGAAAAACTTCTCACACTACCATACCTCATGTTATAGTCGACCCTCCTTTATTGATATATGGAAATGGTTGTAGTGATGTAACAGCCCTTTACCTTATTATTAAATGGCTTTGTCCTATTTTAGAAGGGCTCTTATAGTCAATCTGAGCACGAAATCGAAAAGCGAGTATAGAAGTTTCGTGGTTTAACTTTGAAAACTTGAAAAGCGCTCAACCATTAAGAAGAAATATGCAATATTATCATTCGATTTTCAACCCTTTTTTCTTCAAATTGCTCCTCTCTTATGTTTTACTATTGATAAAATTTTAGACGCTTGAAACTTCAATTGGGTTGGAAGCCAGAATGATGGATGCAGTGTGCGCAACTCTCGCCAGCCGCTCGTTTATTGTCTCAATCATGGAATACTCACACACAACTTATGAAACTATTTTTTCTGAAAATATTCGTCGATTGACATACTCCGGCTTGCTGCTTTGATTTCGCTCATGACATTGATCCAAAACTTCTCCCTACTGCTCGAAAGTTCTGAAAAACAATATCATTCGGTGAAATCATCAGGCAACAAGCTGTGGTAACAAATTGCTTTCCTCCCAAAGTATGTAAGTCAATGTTTATACAGCCATTCTTCTTCTGTAATCTTAACCTATTTTTCTGTGGAAAAATCAAGGTGAAGGATTGGTTTGAAATTTTGATGTAATATTTGATCACCCTTTTTTTTCTGAATTAATTTATTCTCGTCGCCTTTCGAATTTGTAAAAGACAATTAAGACAAAACTTGCATTCATTCTCCAGGCTGTTACATTAATTAACATTGTGAAGAAATTCAAGAAAACTGTATAACGATTTCCACTCTGGCTTGGGTCTTAATATACTGAACTTTCAAATTTTAAGCCTGTCACGTATCGTCCTAATAGAATTTCCATGGAAATTCTCTGCAGGAATGATTTATGACACTATTGTAGGTAAACTAGAGGAGAAAGGTTTGCAATTTCTCTGAATCATTGAGATCTCCTAGTTTCTATGAATAAAAATATTGAAATATTTTTATCAAATACTGTCTGCAGGGTAATCAAGGAGGTGGTACATTCATTTTACTTGATTATTTGGGATTTTCTCTCCTCGTTTCTACAAAATGAAAATACGAGTATCATTTCAATATACAGTGTGACCCACTTCTAATGGAAACACGCCTGTATCTTACGTAATCGTTGGGTAAGGATCCTGAAATTTTCAGGAGTGAGAGATATATCGAAAATGCACTCTATGACCAAGTGGGGTCACCTTCAGTGGTATACACTGCTCGCCAACAGCCATGAAACCACCCCAATTTCCGGAAAATGATATTAGGTGTCAAAATAGGTCGAAAATCAATTTAGATTTGGAATCAGGACGCCCAATTCTCTAGCTATTCATATTTTTCTTGAGAAATTTTCAGTTCTGAAAAATTAAATTTTGTCGCACTTTTTACGGAAGCACCCCCGTATCTTACGTAATTGACTTTATCTTTGGACTTCCCCTTCCTCCTGCAAATTTCAGTACCCTACCTCAATAATTACGTGAGATACGGGGGTGCTTCCATGAGAAGTGAGACAAAATTCAATTTTTCTGAACTGAAAATGTTCTAGGAAAACTATGAATAGTTAGTGAATTGGGCATTCTGATTCCGAATCCCAACGATTACGTAAGATACAGCGGTGTTTCCATTAGAAGTGGGTCACACTGTATGTGTAGTAGGACAAATTATCAGATGATTTGCCACAAAATGTCACTGCGTTTAACAAATTTTTTTGATCAGGAAGCCTAAAAGAAAAATCCAATAGCTTGCCAGTGACACTTTGTTTAGAAAAATGTTTGAAGAGAAGAAATATGGATATACAGTGTCATTCATAAAGTCAGCATCATATGGGAAAAACTTTTATTAATGACTTATTTTGAAATTCGAGTTGGACGTCAAGTTTTGCTTCAAAAAAGATGAAAAATGGCCTACTCAATCAGGGTCATGTGACTTTCGCTACATGTCAAAAGTGACATTTTTTCAAATTAATCGCTGAAAGTAGGCTTATTTGTTCGAATATCGAAAAAGTTTACTTGAAAAAGTTGTTCCTATTTCAATTTTACATATGTGACTCGGATTTTATCTTTCTATTACATTTTTTAGATTTCGATATTTTTTAAAAATTTTCGAAATTTCTGTAATATTATAAAAATTGTAAATTCAATAAAACTACTTCATACCAGTAGCTTCATCATGCTACTAACTTTCAATTACTAATTATCACTAATTATCGACAAAAATATGAATTTCTTCAGAAAATGATAATCTCCGCTTCAAAATTCTGTTATGTTTGATGCAAACATAACATCAAAATGCTGTTATGCTTGAGTCAAGCATTTAGAAACGAAGATCATTTGAATTTATTTTTTCAGTACTGAAAAGATCAGTTTAGATGAATTTCGTTTCTAAATGCTTGACGATATATCAACTTTGCATCAAACATAACAATTGGAAGCGGGTTTTATCATTTTCTGAAAAAAATCATATTTCTGTCCATAATCAGTGATAATAGGTAATTGATAGTGAGAAGCATGAAAAAGCTACTGGTATGAAGTAGTTACGTGGAATTAACAATTCTTCAAATATTACAGAAATTTTGAAAAATTAAAAAAAAATGAAAATCTAAAAGTTGCAATAGAAATATCAAAAGACAAAGCCTACCTTCAGCGATTAATTTGATAAAATGTCACTTTTGACATGTTGCGAAAGTCACGTGACCCCGAATGAGTAGGCCATTTTTCATCTTTTTTGAAGCAAAAGTCAACGTTCAACTCGAATTCGAAAATGAGACATTAATTAAAGTTTTTCCCATATGATGCCGACTTTATGAATGACACTGTATAGAAAAAATATCGATTTTATACTTTACTTCGGACGTTTAGGAAACGTATCTGCTTCCATTCTCAACATGAATATGCAAAAATATTTTCCTTTGGAAGTTGTGTTCTTATATTTCAACACTTCCCAGTAGCATACTGATGTTAGCATAATATGAATGAGTGATGTTAGTATACAAATAAGTTAATACAGGATGTTTTCAGTAGTGAATACCATGTTCTATCTATATCAACTGAACAGGAAGCAATGCTATTTTCTCCGTTCAGAAAAATGCAAGCGGAGACAATAGAGGGGATAGAGCGAGAAGGTAGATATTGATTTTTTTTCGAACAGTTGGAGATAAGTCTGGATGGGAAGATTTCTTTTGGCATAGAATTCCAAAGCTTTGCCGTTCTATGGACAAACGAGATTTGGTAAAGAGTAGTTCGACATATTTCGAGTAACTTTCTACTCCATTGTAGACGATACAAATATTTCATCAAAGGTGCATTTTATACGCTGAATGTACATTGTTGCACATGAGGAACGATAAAATATTTGGGGAATATTTGATTTACAAAGTGAAAAAGTAATATATCCAGTGAATTTAGCTCGTAAGTATTGTTATATAACTTAACAACATACCTGTATTTTTGTTATTGTCCAATATTGTCCAGAATTTTCAAAAAACTGCTTGAAGGAACACCTCACTTGCTGAATGATACATTATGATGAAGCTGCTGTTTCTATCTCTAATAAGAGTACATAGATGGAACCATGTATTAGTTTTGAGCATAGACTTCATTGTTCCAGTTTAGGAATAGTGGTCTATTGAAAAAAAAACTGGAAGATTTCAAATTCCAAAACATTACAGGATATATCTTTTCGTGGGAACCAGAACATGAAAAAATTTCTTAACAGCGTTCCTAATTAATTAGAAACTTCTGGTGCTTGTGATCTCGCCAAAAGCAAACGCTTGGATTGGGCTATTAACTTCTAATCAATGATTTCCAAAAATTTCAAGCAAACTTCAACACTCGAATATCTTTCAAAATATTTTTTTTTTTTGTAAAATTGTATTCGTTCATTTCGTTTTGTATTCTCGTCTTCTATCATCCATTCAATTTATCGCCCCAATTTCGGAAACGCTCTATATAGGAAATTTCTATTAAAAAAGGGCCTTCCATTCAAATCAATTCAGCTTTTCTTTTGGCAAATGAAGGGCCATTAGGCGGTTTTCAAGCTCCGACTAGGTACATAAAACTGAAAGTGTTGAATTATCTCGACTGTGGTCTGGAATTTGATTGCCAATTTTGCGGAGTGGATGGATGGATTTTTTCTATCACTCGGTTTACCCAAGACCCAGAGATGCCCTTTCTTACTGTCGAATCCCCGGATTCGTATTCGTCTGGAAAAGGCGGATCAGAAAACTGATCCGGTATGTAAGTGCACTAGTCTTCTATATGATAACTCTAGAGCAGGGACGGGTATGGAAGAAATTCGGATTGGATTCTTTCACAGTTAACAGGAAAAATAGTGTTGATTTGACTTTTCATAACAAAAACATCGTCTATAAAACGTATCAACTAAACTACGCAACACTAATTTCGTCGCATCACAAAATTTTTGGTCCATGTTAAAATATGAATAACTTGTTGTCTGCTTTGAACAATTTGAATTCGGATTACACTGATCACTAGCCCAGTCCTTCAGCTATAATCTCGCACTTCTTCAAAACATGAGGTTCTGCATATAAAATCGCTACAGGATGTCACCTGAAACTGTGAAAAATTCTGGAATTTTCAAAAGGATCCCAAATGCACAAACACTTTTTTTCAACTTCGACAGCAGATACATGGAGATGATCTCATTACCTATGGACATTTTTCAAATTGTCTTCTTATCTCTTTAATTTACAGAATGATCTCAAAAAATT